CCAAGATGCAGCCACCTCTGGGGAAGAGTGTGGCAAACGCATGGTGTTTAGCACAGGAATCAGGAAGGGATCCCATGGTGAACTGAAGCTGCAGGGGTGAGGTTTAATCCCACTGGAGTTTGGCCAGGACCGCAGGGTTAGCAGCCCTACCCTAGCACAGCACTGGGGACCACTCGTGACAAGCCATCAGGACTATTTTCGGTTTCGCCACAAAGAATCCAGTCCAGTGCCCAAGTTGAAGAGGACACAAATGAGTCTGGGACCGATGCCCAAGTGCCGTGAAGCTTCAGGAGCAAAGCTGGGATCTCTCCCTTGTGGTCACAATCTCTCCATGCACTCCTGGCAAATGGCTCAGCACCTCTCTCAGGGCTGAGCCAACGCCTTCAGTGCAGCGGCAAGGCACCCGGAGCAACAGTGATTGGACATAGGGTGACCATGGGGACAGTCCCAATTTTGGGTCCTTTTCTTATATAGGCTCCTATTTCCCCTCACCCCCTGTCCCAATTTTTTACATTTGCTGTCTGGTCACCCTAACTGGACAGAACAGCTGCCCCTGAGGCTGAGAACAGAGACCTGGCTGGCAGACAAGACCCTTCCTTGGATACCCAGCAGGAGATGGCATCATTGGGCTCTTGCATGTAGATTAAAGTGACTCCTCAAATAAAACCGATACAGTCCTGAGCATATGGGCTGGGATTTACAAAGGCAGCAAGTTAGTGGCCGGTACTCAGCTCCATGACACTCAGGCAGAGCCGTGTTTGGAGGGATTGCATGGATAAGGAAGACCCATCAGTGTCCTGGTCTTTGTGCCAGGGAGCTCCTGTCATTGGCCATCACAGTAACACCCAGCACAGCACTGTGTGTGATTACCAGTCACTGAAGGGGTTTGGTGCAGCCATGAGATCTCCAGCCAACGAGGAACAGGGAGGAGTCAGCGCTCGTAAGCATGTTTTCACTGGCAAAGCCTTTTCACCCAGAGCTTTGCAGACCTATGACCCAATGGGGGATTTGCCTGGGGCACCAGGGTTAGAGTGCCATAGGCTCGAATAAGCAAGGCTCTGTTTTACATCTCCCTGCAGCGGTGTTGCTCTCAAGGCTGGCCGAGTACAGAGGAGAAGTGTGCCACTTACTGAAATGACACCGCTTCCTACAGCACAATGATTTTCTCTGGAGACTTCTTATCAATGCGCTGAGCTGGCTTGGGTGCTTATGACTGTAGCGGTCACAGCACAAGGTGATACCATTGGAGACTTTTCAGATTCTGTAACATCTGACACCCCACTGAACTCCACTCCTGACCGCTCCCAATACACATACTAAATGGTAGAGGTTTCTTACTGGCTTAATAAAAACCTCAATGAACATATCAACATGAGAGATTTTTTTTTTAAATTTATGTAAAGATCGACAGGTTGGATAACTATTGGATACATAAGCACTTAACACTAAAGCTACATGGCACAGTGAGTATGTTTATAATCGGCACATGAGCATCAATACATAGGTATGAACACATTTTATCCCATTAAGAATTTTTAAGAGACATTTTCAGATTCAACAGCCTTTATTTCTTTATCTAGTGACTAACTTCATTTTAGAGATTAAAAAAAATGAATCACTCATCTAATTTACTTATGACCTTGATGTACTCTTTGTGTAAGTCTCAACTTGCTCAATGTCAGTTTCATTTTGCGGTTCATATGAGGTAACATAAGGCTGCAACCTCTGGGTTGCCAGCAGTGTAGGGCACTGTTTACTTTAAAATAATTCATAGGAGCAAGAACAAAAAAGAGCAGGAATCTCCCCCCTCTCCCCCAGGTGTTAAGATAAAAAGGAATCTGTCAGGTTAAACTGAGAAGGATGTGTCATCCCATGGACCAGTTTAAAGACAATATTTCAGTTATAAGTGTGCATGTCGTTCCCTGTATGTAGAGTTTGCTGCACCAATTCAAATTTCATGCAACTCCCAGCCTACAAGGCAGAAAAATCTCTTCCTCAGCCACACACACAAAACACTGATTGTTTAGATATAAAATTAAATCCAACTTAACCCATCACTTGGGGTTTTGGAAAAAAGAATAAACAGCAAAGAGGAACAGATTTCCTATAAAAACTCAGAGCATTGGTCCATCTAGTTCAGAATCCTAGTCCAGCTGTGGCCAACGCTAGATGCTTAAGCAGAAGGCAAAAAGGCTCCATAATGCACCTGGCCAATTGCGTAGTGTCAAACAAGAAGGAAATTCCTTCTCAGACCCCACCATGGGTGATCATTTCATGCCCTGAAGCACAAGGACTCAGACAACTGGATTTTATAAATTGCCAGTGAGCTTGTAATGCTAGGGATAAATTACTAGTTATGCTGATGATAATGCAGTGGTAGTGTGGAAGTGATGCTGCTAATTCCTGTGTGTTACGCCTTTGAGCGTACTAAGGGTGAACTAGATGATTCCAGAATCCTGAGCAGACTCAGAGTCAGTTAAGGGCTAGTGCAGCTAATAAAAAGCGCAGTGACTTCCTCTTTCCTGACAAGCCTGATTCTTGAGTGCTTATTCACAGTAGAGATGGAAAGTGAAAAGTGATTAGCCAAAGGCTAGACTACAAGAGAAAGCAACGTAGAAATACACTCTTATTTCTGAGATCCATCACCACTGAGTACCACAGGCAGAAGAAGAAAGGGTTAAAATGCCAGAGCTATAAAGCCTATAGTTACATGCATCTTTCATCCCTTCCAAACTGCTTTATATATTGTATATATAGGGATCACTTGCCTACCACTAAAACACTGTTACCACGAGGGAGAAACATAATTTAACAGGGACAATGCACAGCACAATGTACAGGAAGAGACATGAAGCACTTTGACTGAAATTACAGGTTTTTTTTCCTTTCTTTTTGCTAAAATCTAATTATCAAGGACAGATTTTAGTTAGAATAGCATGGCTAATATCCTTGGTTTTGCTCCAAAAAAAGTGCTGTAAAAGTGCAGACTGCTTAAAGCTTTGGGTTTTGTTTTACACCTTGTCAAGGTTCCTCGCCCACTCTGAACTCTATGGTACAGATGTGGGAACCTGCATGAAAACCTCCTAAGCTTACTTTTACCAGCTTACGTTAAAACTTCCCCAAGGTACAAATTAATTTTATCTTTTGTCCTTGGAATAACCACTGCCACCACCAAACTCTAACTGGGTTTACTGGGAAACGTAGTTTGGACACGTCTTTCCCCCAAAAATCCTCCCAACCCTTGCACCCAACTTCCTGGGAAAGGTTTGGTAAAAATCCTCACCAATTTGCATAGGTGACCACAGACGCAAACCCTTGGATCTGAGAACAATGAAAAAGCATTCAGTTTTCTTACAAGAAGACTTTTAATAGAAATTGAAGTAAATAGGAGTAAAGGAATCACCCCTGTAAAATCAGGATGGTAGATACCTTACAGGGTAATTAGATTCAAAACATAGAGAATCCCTCTAGGCAAAACCTTAAGTTACAAAAAAGACACACAGACAGAAATAGTCATTCTATTCAGCACAATTCTTTTCTCAGCCATTTAAAGAAATCATAATCTAACACATACCTAGCTAGATTACTTACTAAAAGTTCTAAGACTCCATTCCTGTTCTATCCCCGGCAAAGCAGCATACCAACAGACACACAGACCCTTTGTTTCTCTCCCTCCTCCCAGCTTTTGAAAGTATCTTGTCTCCTCATTGGTCATTTTGGTCAGGTGCCAGCGAGGTTACCTTTAGCTTCTTAACCCTTTACAGGTGAGATGGTATTTCCTCTGGCCAGGAGGGATTTTAAAGGGGTTTACCCTTCCCTTTACATTTATGACACACCTATTTAACTTCAATGACTGATGAACATTTTGGATAAAGGAAGCCTTTGCAGAAAGGAAGATTCAACACCCTCAGCCTTCTAGTCAAGCAGCGAGAGCTCACAACGAATCTCCAGGAGAGGAAGCGGAGATCAAGACACACAAAGTAAGAACTTTCAAACCTTTTTGCCTCTTGGAGCTATTAGACAGCACACACACAGGTTTAAAAGTGGTTTGCAATTCCCCTTTCAATCTTGGTGAGTCAAATTAACCACGTCAGGGTAAAGTTCTGAAGCTGCTGTCCTGGGGTCTTTTCATTCTCATCAAGTAAAGCAGCTGTTTTGTTAGTTGCTTCCTCTCACCCTACAAAGTTTCTACTCTCCATAAAACTTGTTTGCCAGATGGAACAGTTCTGTAACGACTCAGATGGTTTTGAGGCCATGAGAAAAATAAAGATGTGAAATGAAAGTGATTTAGTTTAACTAGCGCAGATCTCTGTGTGAACTAGTGAGTTTAATTTCACACCTTTAAACTGGTGCAACTTTTTCCATGTAGACAAAACCTCAGCATGATGCAAAAAACCCTGCAGTATGGTTCAATCCCTCCCTGATAGATTGTAATTGGGTTAAGGCTTTAGAAATTTTATTTTATAACATTTATTTTCATGACTTAGTTTAAAAAATAAGACTTGGACAAAATTTAAGAAATCGTACATTTTTGGATTAGACTTCTGGTTTAAAATTTCCCTAATTTGAAACTCTGACCCTGTTGCTTCATTACCAGAAACAAAGGCCTCAGACGGAGGTTCTTCCTGTGGGAGACAGAACATGGTATTTTAAAAGATTGCTTAATTACAGAATCCTTTTTAAGAACCCACTAATTAGTTGCACCTTTTGGCAGTGAAGATGCATGTTACATAGCCAAATGATGGAACAGGACCCATGAATGTATGGGTCTCTTCTTACCACCACCACCACCTCCCAAGGTGTAAGTGATCATTCATGTAGATTAAGTGAAGCCAAGTCAGCTGAATGGGGATTTTATGGGTGGGTAAATCCACAGGTCAATTTTGATGGGAACTGCCAAGCAAAAATAAGTTGAATGACAAAGGTTATGGAACGCAGTGATAAAATTGTTCCAACAAACAGGCCACTGGGAGATGGCACTGGAAAAGCATCGCAAGGATTCAGGCCCTGGGTCTCGGAGATGGAATTAAATCCGCCACTAAGGCCTCATTTTCCAAGTCGCTGTCACTTTCCATTACCACATCATTGGTCTCAGCGCTGGGGGCTCCCTTGCGGTTATTATGGAGAACCTCTGCAGTGCCCTCAGAGCCGCCAGAGGGAGCCTCAGCATCTCTCAGATGGCCTTTGAGCACAGGCTTATACCACTCTGGATTCATCTTTTTGATATCAGACAAAATGGCTTTTATCAACTGGCCCCACTCAACAATGCTGTGCTCCCGTTTACAGTAATTGTACAAGTAGCCAGCGGTGTGCATGGCGATCAGGCATCCGGATGCACCAAACGCAGGTGAGCCAGAGGAGCCACAGAAGAAGCGGATGTCATAGGTGACTATGTTAGGATTGGCAGTCACTTCCTGGAAGCTCCTAGGCGTGAACATGTGGATGCACTGGCTGGTTCTGCTCTCAGGGATGGTACCACAACTGGTGCTGCTGTGGCCTTCCACCTGCCCTTTCTGGAGGCGTTCTCTGCATCTCCACCCCCGCTCAAGTGGGGCTACTATAGAACAACCATCTGTGGACTTCTCCTTTCCATCTGGGTGGCCAATAATATAAATCAGGCTACTACATGGTGGTGAAGATATATATTTTGCCAACCCATTTGGGAATTTAGAGCTCCTTTCCTTCAATTTCAAGATGGCGTAATCAAGAGCCTGGTCTGAGACTTCCAAGCAAGGCTCTATGTAGAACCAATCATCCTCCTTAGGGTGTTTGTTTTCATAAGAGAAGGCAACCTTGACAGACTGACTAATTTCTGCCCAGTGCTGCTCCTCGACTCCTGGTCCTGCTACACTGCTCACCACATGATGACAGGTGAGGATGTACCCATCACATAATACAAAGCAAGTGGCACAGCCCCTGTTTCCATTGTAGTCCCATTCTACATACCCTACTGAGTTGCTGAGTCCAGCAAGGAGTCTATGCACCCGAACTGGAGTGGAGTTCTTCGCCTCGTTACTAAAATTTTTTCTATGCAGTTCCAGCAGAGCTTTGATGTGTTTGCCTGACTCTCGAACCTCCTCCTTAAAGAACTCTTTGATCAATTCACTTTGGTTCTTTAATTCAGGATACTGTACCAGAACAGCTAGGTTAAATTGATAGAATGCTTCCCCCGTCGCTCCCGAGTGGCCCCACCATGCTGCTCATTCCTTGCCTTAACGGCACGCTCAGATACAACCTGCACCTCACTCAAATGACTGATAAGTCATTGACAAAATTGTGACTATAGTGGAATGTTTCGCTGTTCTCCACTAGATACCACTCCTCTTCCTCCAAGAGGGGCAAAAACCATCCATCCTTGCTCAGAGCAGTCTTGATGGTCTCCCCTTTTGGGGCAAAGACACATATCTTGCAACACTCTTTTGTAAGCTCCTGGCACAACATTATTTTTTGAATTTGCACCCCATCAGGCCCTTTCTTTCCAGTGGAAGTGATATAAAATACAATGCATTCAGTCCTTGTGCTGTCGAGCTGGCGATATCCTTGCTCACCACCTTTCTGGTCTCTCTTCACTTTATAAAACTTCATTGCAAAGTGGGACTTCTGAGGAAGGCACTTGAGGGTCATTCCCAACTTCACAAACCCCTTAATCTGCCTCTTCCCCTGCAGATACGTCTCCTTGCCCTGCTGCTTCTCGATGTGAGTCCGAATACGTTTCAGAGCCATCAGGGCCGTGTAAATACTGTCACTGGCTTTGCCTTTCACCACATACTTCACTCCATTTTTACCTAAGTTAATAGTGAATTTTCTATCCTCACTGTCATCGGATTCAGGGTCTCGGGTTCCAGGTTTTTCAGTAGACATCAGCGTATTGCCGATGTCCTTCAGAGCACTGCACCAGTGTTCGATCTCATCCTGTTTGGCGTGAGGGGGTTTGAACCCTGCACATTCTCTTGCTGAACAACAACAACACAAACCAGTGTGAATGAACAACAGCTGCAGTTTCCCTTTTGTAGCCCTACGTCAGTGCTCTTCACTATTTTTGAAGTGGGGGCCACTTTGGCAAAAAACCTTCAATGTGAGAGCCACATGGGGTGGGGTCGAGGGGTTCAGAGTGTGGGAGGTGACCCAGGGTAGGGCAGAGGGTGGGGTGCGGGGGTGAGGCCTGCCAGGTGGGGCCAGGGATGAGGGGTTCACGGTGCAGGAGAGGGCTCAGGGCTGGGACAGAGGGTTGGGATGCAGGAGGGGGTGAGGGCTCTTGCTAGGGGTGCAGGCTCTGGGGTTGGGCTGGGAATGAGAAGTTTGGGGTGCAGGAGGCTGCCCGGGGGCTGGAGCCATATGCCAGAAGACAACAGCCTCTGTCCTCGAGCTCTACAGTGAGTACACAATGTTCCCATAGCCAGAGGACTCCCCCCAGCCCTCTCCCTGCTGGCGGGCGGCACGGGAGCTCCGGGGGAAGGAGCCCTTTCTTCCCCCTGCTGGCGGGTGTCACGGGAGCTCCGGGGGAAGGAGCCCTTTCTTCCCCCTGCTGGCGGGTGTCACGGGAGCTCCGGGGGAAGGAGCCCTTTCTTCCCCCTGCCGGCAGCAGGAGCTCCGGCTGGGGAGAGGCACACAGCAGCCCTGCAAGCCTCAACTTGCTCCTGTCCCCAGTTCCCGCTCCCCCCCTACTTCTCTCCTCTCCAGGTCCCTGCTGTGTGCTCACCCAGCCCCACTCCGCCCCTAGCCCAGCTCTGCCCTCATTCCCTCTCTGCCCTGCAGGCCAGCTCCACCGCTAGCCCCAGCTCCTCCCTCTTCCCCAGTTCTGCCCCCAGCTCCACCTTCAGCCCAAGCTCCTCCGCTGAGCCGACTCTGCAATAGTGGAGTGGGGTACAGACAGATTCCATTATGGGGGCATGACAGGAAAAGTTTGAGCACCGCTGCTTTAACGGGTTTGGGACAGGAACTGGCTTACATTATGTGTGCAGACAGCACCTATCACAGTAAGGTCCTGGACCATGATTGGAGCTCCTATGTGCTACCACAGTGCTAGTAAAATAATAATACATCATATGAGGAAATCTGATTTAGAGTGAATTACCAGAAAGTAATATGGGATGGTATATTTCTGGGGGGCACTGGCTGGACTCCTGCCGATGGGTGGCTTCCTGGCACTCATGCTGGCTCAGGAGCGGGAATAATAAACTAAAGAGTCAAGAGATTTCAGTGTTAGGAGACAGCTGAGAGAGAGTACGGACAATCCCTATTCACGTCCCATCTGCTTTGTCCTTCATCCTCCCACCTCATCACCACCCCTGCATCCGTGACACTCAGCAGAATGAGTATGGAAACAGTGCACCATTGCACACAAGTTTTTGGAAACACGGCTACCGCTCTGAAACCTGTCCTCTTTGGAAATCCCCATGGATCGTCCCACCTGGCTGGGGCAACAGGTCACACTCAGTACTGACCACACAACAGTGTGGTGGGGCAGACAGATACCACGGGGAAAGGGAAGGAGGAGCTGACTAGGTGAGAGGGATTCTTTGTTTTCTCTGCAAAAGAGATTTTTGGTTCATTTACCCACTTGACCCTCCCTGAGAGGTCCTCCCCGACTCATGAGATCCAACCCCCCCCCATTCCCCCATGGGGGCCTCCCCCTCCTGATCCCCACACAGCCCTCCCCTGCTCAGCCCTCCCATCCCCCCCAGGGTCCTGCCCTCTCTCCTAGTCCTCACAGGATCTTCCCCCTCCCACCCCCCGACAGGGTCCTGCCCTCTCTCCTGGTCCCCACAGGATCCATCCCTCTCACAGCCTCCATCTAGGACAGTGGTTCCCAAACTAGGGGTGCCGCTTGTTCAGGGAAAGCCCCTGGCAGGCTGGGCCAGTTTGTTTACCTGCTGTGTCTTCAGGTTCGGACAATCGCGGCTCCCAGTGGCCGCGGATCACCGCTCCAGGCCAATAGGAGCTGCAGGAAGCGGTGTGGGCCGAGGGATGTGCTGGCCATCGCTTCCCGAAGCCCCCATTTCCCTGAACAAGCGGCGCCCCTAGCTGGGAACCACTGATCTAGGACCTGCCCCCATGGGATCCTCTCCCCATCTATCCCCCTTCCAGGCCAGTCCCCCGGGGGCTGCTCGAACCTCTCACTGGGTCTCAGCTGCGCAGGTCGCGAGGCCAGCGGACAGTCACATGGTTCCCGCCATGGGGGAGAGGTGGGATTCACGTCTCATTGGCTGCTGGGACATGGAGCGGGGGGAAGAAGATGGGGCGAGTCCTCCTCGTCATTGGGCCGTCCTCAAAAGCTGATTGGCTGCAGGCTTCGCGGCGGTTGCTGAGTTGGGGAGAGCACGGGGCAGGGAGGTAGTTCGGCTTCCTTCAAGGAGTGCAGCCAATGTGGGGAGAGGGGCTCGATCACCATGACAACCCCGTCATGTGCCTGGCCCTGCCCCCACGAGGTGGGAAGGCGGCTGGAGATTTCCCCACGTTCTGCACAGGTGCAGGCGGGGTGACTCCTCGGGGCCAGGGCCAGCTCTAGGCACCAGCAAAACAAGCAGGTGCTTGGGGTGGCACATTTCTAGGGGTGGCTTTCTGGAGCTGGCTATGCTGCCCCAGGAACATGCCCTCACCGCCCCAGCTCGCCTCCGCTCCACCTCTGCCTGCTCCCCTGAGCGCACTGCCGCCGCTCCACTTCTCCCCGTCCCTCCCAGGCTTGCCGCACACGAAACAGCTGTTTGGCGCAGCAAGCCTGGGAGAGAGGGTGGAGAAGCCGAGTGGCTGTGTGCTCGGGGGAGGCGGCGGTGGTGGAGCGGAGGTGAGCTGGGGCAGAGAGAGGGTCCTCTACCCCCCCGTTACTTCCTGCTCTTCCGCATTTCCCCCCCACCCTTGCTCACCTCCGCTCCGCCTGCTCCCCTGAACGCGCTGCCTCTCCCTTGCCTGAGAGGGAGGGGGAAGCGGAGCAGTGGCATGTTCAGGGGAGCAGGCAGAGCGGAGGTGAGCTAGGGTGGGGGGTTGTGGGGGGGGAGCCGCAGGAGGCACTGGGGGGGGGAATCCGGCACGCCCAAGGAGGACGCGGGGCCGGGGATTTGGGGAAGGGGTGGGAGGTGGGGGGCACGAAAAAAAAGCAGGGGCTGCCAAAAACTTTTTTTGCTTGGGGCAGCAAAAATCCTAGAGCCGGCCCTGCTCGGGGCTGAAGCCCTAAGGGGAGGGGTGGCAGAGGCCGACCTGGAAATGGGCCAGTTAGAGTCACTTTTTATATTTTACTCCAGCTCTCGCTCTTTTTAACTCCCTTACCATCCCTGTGCTCTTTGATCCCCACTCACATATCTTCCCCTTCAGCTACCCCCTGTGATTTTCTACCAGTCTCCATAGGGCGATTCCCTCACTCTCAGAACCACATGGCCCAAAATTCTTCTGCATTACACCAGGATACATTGTGGACACAGTGGTTTAACGCACATCTTTACCATGGGGGCTTCTTGAGCTTGGTGATATCCCAATAACTTGAAGACCACTCAGGTTTCAATGTAAACAAGAACAAACTTTATTTTACAGGGACTTACTGGCACCCCTTCTTGGCTTTTCTTCCACATGACCCCCCCTGGGGCAGGGCCCCTTCCTCTTCTGGGTTTCTAAAAAGAGCCACACCTCATAAGCAGACATTCCCAAACACTACAAGCTTGCCATCCTACCTACCTGGAGCTTAAGAACAAACCATATGCCAGCTGGTTATGGACTGCCCTCTTAATCATCTTGATAGTGGCTTGATGCGCTTGATGTCTCTGATTGATGCTGCCATGACAGAGTGACTACTTTGTTACCCTAAAATTTAGATGCAACTTATGTTACCTACAAATGTGTCTAATTTAACAAAAGGGTAACAAGATTGTGGTCCACCTTAAAGGAATTGCCAGGGTGTTACCAGGGGGCTTGTGTCTGACCTTCAAAGGGCTCCCCAGAGCAAGCTAATCTTGCTAACCCCTGAAAGGACACAGATACAACCTCCCGCTCAAGGATGGACACACAAGCAATAATTCTTTGAAAACAAAAGAATTATCTGTTTAAAGGAAATAAGTGGTTACAATGTATTTAATAAAGCAAGAAAGAATACACAGAACATAGTAAAATGCAATAGAATTACATTTAAAGAATCATATAAATAAAGCGGTGCAAAAATAAGACAGACTACATAGAATAGCTATCACATACAGGAAATACAGTAGTTTCAATGTAACTTGTATAAAGGTTCCACATACATAAAGGCTTTTAGCCTTACTGTTACAATCTAGTCCCATGCTTAATACAATGTAATATGTGCAGTCTCTATATACACATATGAGAAACCATCAGTGTGCCATCAGAAGCCACATGCCAGAAGACAACGGCCTCTGTCCTAGAGCTCTACAGTGAGTACATAATGTTTCCATGCCGATTCGGTGACATTTTAACACTCACTCTGTGCAGATGTGTATGACACCACTCTAAAGCAGCAGAGAATCTATTTCTGCTCCTCTCCACCTCAGCCCCTTCCCAATAATTTCCCAGTTAATTATTTTTAAAGCCCCATCTAAAATTACATGTTTATGAACTTCTTGATTTGAAATCATTAAAAAAAATACTACTTTTTCCCATGGTGTTATAATGAACTGGGCTGTGTGAATGTGTTATTAGTGCCCTCTAATGGAGGGAATCAGAAGTACTGTACTTGTCATACGCCCTGTACTGCTCGAGATTCTCCTTTAGTCCAGGTGAGTGGGTAAGCTCAGTTTTTAGGGCATGAGGAGCATTGTTCTATCTCCACTGCCTCCCTGAACTCTGTCCTTGCTCCATATGTACAGCATAGTGGTGACAAATGTTACAAGGGCACGAAAATTAGCAATAACCACTTGCCTTACCCTATCTGTACCAGTAAGTGGCATTAACACTCACTGCATTTGTTGCATTGTCCTGTGACTTAATTTCCTTTCCCCCTTTCACATCAGGTCTTTAAGCATTCCCATGGGAATGAGAACTGGAGCTTTCTTGGCAATGGGTTATCCTGAGATACAGCCAATGCTGCAGTCAGCCCTGCTGGGTCCAAAGGGGTCTCCTTCTGATGGGATGGTGGAAAGGTGCAATCAGATTCTGGGGGTTCAGCTGGCTATCTTTACAGAACAACACCAAAGGGACTAAGGGTATGTCTACACTACAAAATTAGGTCGACTTTATAGAAGTCGTTTTTTTAGAAATCGGTTTTATATATTCGAGTGTGTGTGTCCCCACAGAAAATGCTCTAAGTGCATTAAGTGCATTAACTCGGCGGAGTGCTTCCACAGTACCGAGGCTAGAGTCGACTTCCGGAGCGTTGCCCTGTGGGTAGCTATCCCACAGTTCCCGCAGTTTCCGCTGCCCATTGGAATTCTGGGTTGAGATCCCAATGCCTGATGGGGCTAAAACATTGTCACGGGTAGTTCTGGGTACATATTGTCAGGCCCCCGTTCCCTCCCTTCCTCCATGAAAGCAACGGCAGACAATCGTTTCACGCCTTTTTTCCTGAGTTACCTGTGCAGACGCCATACCACGGCAAGCATGGAGCCTGCTCAGCTCACTGTCACTGTATGTCTCCTGGGTGCTGGCAGACGTGGTACTGCATTGCTACACAGCAGCAGCAACCCATTGCCTTGTGGCAGCAGACGGTGCAATAGGACTGGTAGCCGTCATCGTCATGTCCGAGGTGCTCCTTGTCGCCTCTGTGAGGTCGATCAGGAGCGCCTGGGCAGACATGGGCGCAGGGACTAAATTTGGAGTGACTTGACCAGGTCATTCTCTTTAGTCCTGCAGTCAGTCCTATTGAACCATCTTATGGTGAGCAGGCAGGTGATACGGATTGCTAGCAGTCCTATTGCATCATCTTCTGCCAGCCAGGCAAGAGATGAGGATGGCTAGCAGTCCTATTGTATCATCTTCTGCCGAGCAGCCATGAGATGTGGATGGCATGCAGTCCTTCTGCACCATCTGCTGCCAGCCAAAGATGTAAAAGATAGATGGAGTGGATCAAAACAAGAAATAGACCAGATTTGTTTTGTACTCATTTGCAAACATCCCCCTTTCCCCCCGTCTAAGGGACTCATTCCTCTAGGTCACACTGCAGTCACTCACAGAGAAGGTGCAGCGAGGTAAATCTAGCCATGTATCAATCAGAGGCCAGGCTAACCTCCTTGTTCCAATAAGAACAATAACTTAGGTGCACCATTTCTTATTGGAACCCTCCGTGAAGTCCTGCCTGAAATACTCCTTGATGTAAAGCCACCCCCTTTGTTGATTTTAACTCCCTGTAAGCCAACCCTGTAAGCCGTTTCATCAGTCGCCCCTCCCTGCATCATAGCAACGGCAAACAATCATGCATCTGAGTTGAGAGTGCTGTCCAGAGCAGTCACAATGGAGCACTCT